GCGGCTGTACTCGCGACGGAAGTAGTCCGAGATGGCCGCATCGTACTCCCGCCGTATGGCTGAAGGCCTGCGACACACGCAAGACACCGTCACATACAACGCATGCACACACACGCACACGCACACAGCAAGCGATGCACGTACGCACGGCAACGCAAACACGCGGTCAACATACCCGCGGCGCAGACACCGGGTCACATACCCGCGCGCGGCCAGACACCGGTCACATACGCACGCACGCACGCTCGCAGACACTGGCATCAGAGAAATAAGAGTCAAAGAAAGGATACCGCACACAGGCAGAAACAGGCACAGTCGACCAATCACATAGAGCGCAGGTGGCTGTCAACGCAAAATACCGTAGCCAGATGAATGCACAGCTTTGACAGACACCCGGCACATTCAGAAACCAGCACCCATAGGGACAGCAATAGACACAGACACCCCACAACAGACACCTGCCTCACATCAACATATACAGCGCACATAGGCAACGACCACAGCAATGTTTCGCACGTTCTGATGGACGCGCCCTTCACGTCAGGCCTCCGCATGTGACACGCGGTGCGATCGAACAGTTTTTTTTACCAAACGGTTCGTCAGCATAGCGTAAATTTGTTTCGCTGAGTGACCTTTAGCGCCAAGCTTCCTTCTTCGTTTCAAAGTGTCGTGTCGTGCAGATCGGATTCGCCATCTCCTTGGCAACGCTGCAAGAAACAAACATGGACCGTTTTAATCGACATGGCAAGACAAGCTAATGATCACGGATAGGAGAACACATGTCACTCAGGAACAAAACGGTAGTGAACGGCTATATTTGAGCCACGCTCACCGACAGAATATAAACCGACACGGTGCTAACATTACATTAATTTTTTGTTTGTGGTAACCGGAATCCAATATTTAATGGGTCAGTGAAGTTAGCTCCCAGTTTCCAGTTCCCAAGTTCCTTAATTCGAATAAGGAACTAGTAAATAGGCAAAGCAGTTACCAGTTTCCAGTTCCCAGTTCCTTATCGAATAAGGAACTATAGTAACTAGGCAAAGCAGTTACCAATTCCCAGTTCGAAATGCAACATTGAATTGGGAACTGGAACTAGGCAAAATAAGTTACCTAGTTACTTATTTCGGCCAAATTAACCCTTTGGCAGCACATTTATTCGAATGGTAATTCGAACTGGTAACTGAATAAGTAGCCTGGGAATGAAAGAAATGATGTGTGCCAAAGGGTTAATTTGGCCGAATAAGTAACTATAACTACTAGTAACTATTTTGCCTAGTTACCGGTTCCCAATTCAATGTTGCATTTCGAACTGGGAACTGGTAACTGCTTGCCTATAGTTACTAGTTCCATTATTCGAATAAGAAACTGGAAACTGGGAACTGGTAACTGCTTTGCCTAGTTACTAGTTCCTTATCGAATAAGAACTGGGAACTGAGAACTGCTAACTGCTTTGCTAGTTAAAAGTTCCTTATTCGAATAAGGAACTGGGACTGGAACTGCTTACTGCTTTGCCTAGTTACTAGTTCCTTATTCGAATAAGGAACTGGGAACTGGGAACTAGTAACTCACGCCCGGGGATAGCAACACCCTGAATTACTCTGCAGTGGCCATTCACGATACCTGAGGCTATGCCGGACATTTTCTAATGGTGCCAGAAGGTTTCCTTTCCAGCTAACCTAGCTTAATTTTGGGGTAACGGTTTTTAGGTCTGGCGGATGCGCCCCACCACTAAAATTTTTGGCAGTGTCCATTCCTGATACCTGGGTCGATGCCGAACATTTCCAATAGGGTTCATGGGGTTTCCTCTCCAGCTAATCTAGCTCAATTTGGGGTGCTTTTCAAATGACCGCACTAACACACACCCACCAGCGTCTGCCCGCCAGACTTACCATTTCCTTACATGGGTATGTAACACGAATCATTGCTATATGCATGAAAATTGGTTTCCTTTCAGCTAGGCTGACCCCCTGGGTTCCCGGTCTCATCAGCTCACTGTATATGCGCTTTAAAAAAAAAATTTCAAATGTTCTTCGTTAACCTCCTTTTTGTCTCACTGTATTTTTCGTTTGTTGATTTGTTAAACGACCAAGATTCCACCAATACAATCCAGGTTGATAAAAATCGCCTACCACACTGATTCCACTCTCATTCGCATGTTAATTTGACATCATGGCGGAAGTTCAGAACTTGGGTATTATGTCATTTAAAGTAATAATATGTGTTTTGCGTTTATTGCACCCTTAATTCAATTACATTACTATGCAATCTGCGCATCATTTCTCAATCTGTAATTGGTTTTCGATTTCCCCTAATACGGTGCTTAGCGTATCAAACAAGCAAGGTCTGAAGACCTTTGCGCAAACAGTTTCATGATATTGGCTTCCAACTGGTGGCATCTTGGAGAACTGCCGTGCTGATTAGAGAAACTGATTCTCTGTTAAGTATGTCCTATACTATTTGACAATGTCAAAATTCTTAATAAGTTGAAGCCGAGTTATCTGTTCGTGTTTCTGTGTTTCGGTTTATGATTTATCAGATTTTTCCTCGCAGCACTCCCATCATCCATGAAAAAACCGTTTCAGTACATTGTATGTATGACTGTAATTTGTAATGCGTATGTATTTAATACATGCAAAAAAAATGGCGAGGTGTAGCTATATAGATTTAGTGTGTTAATTCATTAGTCATGTTGATGTCACTAAGGCTGCTATCGACAAATATCTAAGATATCTTTAATTTCTCGTAATAATGTCATTTTTGAGCATTTATGTTTTTGTGCAGAATTTTAAGAATTAGGGCGCCGCAGAAATTTGGGAGGGCGTGTGAAGACTTGCATGCCCGCGTGCATGCTGCGTAGCATTCTGTATAACTATTGCGAACATTTACATACATATCGCAGCCCACTTGGTAGACGCGCATGTCTTGCAGGCACCAGAATCTTGTAGTTTGTAGCCGCTACAGTATTTATATGATGCAAAAACATCTGGTATCTATGGGGGTATACTGCATAATATAATGTGAACAACATGCAAAGTGGTAACTTGTCATCAACGAAATAGCTTTTATATAATTAGTGACTATGTTTCGTTACATAAATATTGAATTTAATTGAAATAATTTGAATATTTCATTAGCATAAATATGAATTTATCTTAATGCATGTATATTACTTGCCTGTTAATAGCATTTTAGGCAGGAACACAGATCTGATAAACTGCATGGAGAAGCAAACTCATCAAACTCTATGCAGGTATTTTATATGTCAAATTTGACTGTATAGATATATAATAATTTCAAAATTATACGCGAAATTAATCGCCTTCAATGTTGTTTAGATACCTTTTAATATTTACGGCAAAATGTGTACTGAAATCACGCAGCGTATCTATAATTCATATATGTATATATTATATATAATCGTAGGACATGTATGAAGAAGAAGGCTTGGACAGCCTCTACGGGGACACAGCTCGACTGTGCTACCCACCGGATTTAGCTTGTTGTTGTTGCCTTTTTTGTT